CACATAAACTGTGCCTGGAAATGTGGTTACTGATAAGCTTGACATTTACCTGCTTATTCCCTGACGTTGTCCATGTTATTTTATAGATGTGTAAACATTTTACATTTTGTCATTTAGCAGACGCTCTTATCCAGAGCGACGTACATGAGCAATTAGGGTTAAGTGCCTTGCTCAAGGGCACAGACAGACTTTTCACCTAGTCGGCTCGGGATTAGAACCAGCGACCTTTCGGTTACTGGCACAACGCTCTTAACCACTAAGCTACCTTGGATCACCTACCTTGGACGATGCAAATAGTCCAGATAGCCATGATTAGCTGTTATGGCTTGGGGGTAGAAGCTGTTAAGAAGCCTTTTGGACCTAGACTTGGTGCTCCGGTACTGCTTGCCGTGTGATAGCAGAGAGAACAGTCTATGACTAGGGTGGCTGGAGTCTTTGACAATTTATAGGGCCTTCCTCTGACACCGCCTGGTATAGAGGTCCTGGATGGCAGGAAGCTTGGCCCCAGTGATGTACTGGACCACAACGCACTACCCTCTGTAGTGCCTTGTGGTCGGAGGCCGAGCAGTTGCCATACCAGGCGGTGATGCAACCAGTCAGGATGCTCTTGATGGTGCAGCTGTAGAACTTTTTAAGGATCTGAGGACCCGTGCCAAATCTTTTCAGTCTCCTGAGGGGAAATAGGCTTTGTCGTGCCCTCTTCACGACTGTCTTGGTGTGTTTGGACCATGTCTTCTACAGTGCATTCGGAAAGTATTCTGACCCCTTAACCTTTTCCACATTTTGTTACGTTACAGCCTTTTCTAAAATTGATTAAATAGTTTTTTCCTCATCAATCTACGCACAATACCCCATAAAGACAAAGCAAAAACAGTTTTTTTTAAATGTAAAAATAGAAATAAGTATTCAGACCCTTTACTCAGTACTTTGTTGAAGCACCTTTGGCAGCGATTACAGCCTGAAGTCTTCTTGGGAAAGACGCTACAAGCTTGGCACAACTGTATTTGGGGAGTTTCTCCCATTGTTCTCTGCAGATCCTCTCAATCTCTGTCAGGTTGGATGTGGAGCGTCGCCGCACAGCTATTTTCAGGTCTCTCCAGAGATCTGGTTGAAGTCCGGGCTCTGGCTGGGCCACTCAAGGACATTCAGAGAATTGCCCTGAAACCACTCCTGCATTGTCTTGGCTGTGTGCTTAGGGGCGTTGTCCTGTTGGAAGGTGAACCGTCACCCCAGTCTGAGGTCCTGAGCAGGTTTTCATCAAGGATCTCTCAGTACTTTGCTCCCTTCATCTTTCCATCGATCCTGACTAGTCTCCCAGTCCCTGCTGCTGAAAAACATCCCCACAGCATGATGTTGCCACCACCATGCTTCACCGTAGGGATGGTGCCAAGTTTCTTCCAGATGTGACACTTGGCATTCAGTCCAAAGAGTTCAATCTTGGTTTCATCAGACCAGATAATCTAGTTTCTCATGGTCTGAGTGCTTTAGATTATCTTGGGGCTGTGCATTATCATGCTGAAACATGAGGTGATGGCGGCGGATGAATGGGACGACAATGGGCCTCAGGATCTCGTCACGGTATCTCTGTGCATTCACATTGCCATCGATAAAATGCAATTGTGTTCGTTGTCTGTAGCATGCAGGTCTGGGAAGATGAGATGTAGTCATAGTTTGTGTGCATCTGTAAGTTGTTGTTCGTATATAGCGTGACATTTCATTAAAAAAAAAATATAAATATAAATAAAAATACCACCAGGGGTTGGATCTTAGCTTTCAAAATCAAGCAAAAAGGGCTTTTGGCTCCCAAGTTCTTTGTGGGTAAAGGATACGCGATAGACATTACTTTATTAGGAAATACAAAAATATCATAACATTGCATCAAATCTGCTGTGCAGTTCGGGAAAAGGGGGTACATGTCAGGTACTTGGGTAGCTCTTTTGTCCATAATAGTATCATCATGTTGCCTGCGCGCTGTTGGTTAGAGTGCATGTGCCAATACCAGAGTGGGCACACTCGCTATATAATGCAACATTTTTTGTGAGAAAAATATCAGCAGAGTTGAAAATGCGATGGAAACACATTTAACTTGTATTTTTTATTCAGTACATGGGAATTTAACCGCAAAAGGTATTTTTATGTGCACTGTCATCACGTACAGCTTAAAATATGTAACACATCTCTGGTGGGAAAATGAGCATATTGTTTTTATGCAGATTTTAGAATATTCACATGAAAATCTGTCACCAATTGTATGGAAACCTAGCTAGGGTGATGCTTTGGGGGTACTTTTTTTTAAATGATTGTTTCCTTTCTTTTGGTAGCTAATTAATGATTTTTTTCCATAGAAATGTTAACATGTACACACGCTGACACTTGTCACTAGTAAGGATTGGTGGGATTGGGACCTTTATTATTTGATGCGCTCAACAAATATACTGTGTATGCAAGTAAGAATAAAACTAATAATATAACTAGGATAATAATCATCATCATCATTTGCACAATGCCTTGTAAACCAGGAAACGGAAACAGCCTTACCACCCACCTACTGCCCCTCACCCAAATAAACACAAAAAATATTAGAAAAGTCAGGACTGTGGATTCTCTTACAGGCTTCTTCAAAGTGTCAAGTCCACAAGCATCACCAGTCACTGATGTCGAGGGATTTGGGGAGTGCCATCTTTTGCACCGCTGAGGAGTTGGTTTCTCGAGGTGGGATTGGATAGCGTACTCTGCAAACCTGGGTATAAATAGACTAGAATGGGTCAGAATACTCTCGTCTTCTGTGGTTATATTGGCCCGCCTGGCATGGTTGGTTAGTGTAGTACATATACAGTGCATTCAGAAAGTATTCAGACCCCTTGACTTTTTCCACATTTTGTTACGTTACAACCTTATTTTAAAATGGATTAAAAAGCTTTTTTTCCCTCATCAATCTACACACAATACCCCATAATGACAAAGCAAAAACTGTTTTTTATAAAATTTTGCATAAGTATTCAGACCCTTTACTCAGTACTTTGTTAAAGCACCTTTGGCAGCGATTACAGCCTTGAGTCTTCTTGGGTATGACACTACAAGCTTGGCACACCTGTATTTGGGGAGGTTCTCCCATTCTTCTCTGCAGATCCTCTCAAGCTCTGTGAGGTTGGATGGGGAGCGTCGCTGCACAGCTATTTTCAGGTCTCTCCAGAGATGTTCGATCGGGTTCTGGTTGGGCCACTCAAGGACATTCAGAGACTTGTCCTGAAGCCACTCCTTCGTTGGCTTGGCTGTGTGCTTAGGGTTGTGGTCCTGTTGGAAGATGAACCTTCACCCCAGTCTGAGGTCCTGAATGGTCTGGAGCAGGTTTTCATCAAGGATCTCTCTGTACTTTGCTACGTTCATCATTCCCTCAACCCTGACTAGTCTCCCTGTCGCTGAAAAACATCCCCACAAGCATGATGCTGCCACCACCATGTTTCACCATAGGGATGGTACCAGGTTTCCTCCAGACGTCACACTTTGCATTCAGGCCAAAGAGTTCAATATTGGTTTTATCAGACCAGAGAATCTTGTTTCTCATGGTCTGAGAGTCCTTTAGGTGCCTTTTGGCAAACTCCAAGCGGGCTGTCATGTGCCTTTTACTGAGGTGTGGCTTCTGTCTGGCCACTCTACCATAAAGGTCTGATTGGTGGAGTGCTGCAGAGATGGTTGTCCTTCTGGAAGGTTCTCCCATCTCCACAGAAGAACTCTGGAGCTCTGTCAGAGTGACCATCGGGTTCTTGGTCACCTCCCTGATGAAAGCCCTTCTCCCCCGATTTCTCTAGGAAGAGTCTTGGTGGTTCCAAACTTCTTCCATTTAAGAATGATGGAGGCCACTGTGTTCTTGGGGACCTTCAATGCTGAAGAAACGTTTTGGTACCCTTCCCCAATCCTGTCTCTGAGCTCTACGGACAATTCCTTCGACCTCATGGCTTGGTCTTTGCTCTGACATGAACTGTCAACTGTGGGACCTTATATAGACAGGCGTGTCTTTCCGAATCATGTCCAATCAATTTAATTTACCACAGGGGGACCAATCATGTTGTAGAAACATCTCAAGGATGATCCATGGAAACAGGATGCAACTGAGCTCAATGTTGAGTCTCATAGCAAAGGGTCTGAATACTTACGTACATAAAGTATTTTTGTTTTTAATTTTTAATACATTTGCTAACATTTTCTAAAACCTGTTTTCGCTTGGTCATTATGGGGTATTGTGTGTAGATTGATGAGGGAAAAAATAATTATCAATTTTAGAAGGCTGTAACGTAACAAAATGTGGAAAAAGTCAAGGGGTCTGAATAATTTCCAAATGCACTGTAGTTGGTCAGAGATTTAAAGTGACCAAATTTTGGATTTGCAAAGGTAGATGGTCAACATATATTGTCGACCATGGGTTGGTGTTGTGTGGTCACTGGAAAGCCATTCCTTGTTCTTCAGACCAGGGTTGTCCACCTTTGCACAGTAGTTTGGGAGAGTGGATATGAATACCCTGCACCAACCTGGTCTCAGAGCATTTTGTATTATTCTGTATGTAAATCCGAGACAAAGGATTTATTATGATATGTTAAATGTGTCGTATGGTATGTATTAATTTGTGAATGTCCATCACCCATTCCGTATGATATGTTACGAATTTGCTTAATGTACAATATGTTACGAATTTGCAAAAATGTAAAATATGTTACAAATTCTAGCTAGGTGGCTAATGTTAGGGTAAGGGGTTAAGGTTAGGTTAAATGGTTAGGGTTAGCTAAAAGGGTTAGTGGAAGGGTTAGCTAACACACTAAGTATTTGCAAAGTAGCTAAAAAGCAGTAAGTAGTTGAAAAGTTGCTAATTAACTACAATCCGTGATGAGATTCGAAATCGCAACCTTTGGGTTGCTTGACGCCCAACCATCCACCCCGACCAACTTTTGTTTTTGCCTTAAGTAACCGTCTGTCTTATGTAACCATACCAAACATAACATATCATATTAATTTGAGTGTTCCGGATTTACTTTACTATGTTACGTCTAGTCTATGAGACTAGGCTGCCTGCACAGTTTGCCATGGTCACACAGATCAGGGTGGATAATTTAATAGTCTTTGCCATTTCCCTCCTCCCCCTATCAACCAAAATAATGTGGGCACGCTTGTGTGACTGCACCATGCCGATTCTCCACCCTTTCCCAAAGTGTGCATTCGTACACTTCCCTCCAGGCATACACTAATCCAATGCTTTTAAATGCATTAGGTGGAGTGAATGAGTGCACACCATGGGTAGGTTGGAGAATCTGAATGCAGGCTAGTCAGGGGAGTGGAGGGATCCAGATTGAGTTTGTGTCAGGGTGGAGGTGGGGGACCTGTGTATGTCTGTGTGGCTAGTGCAGGTAATCGTCCACAGCAGCGAAAGCGCAGGAGCCACTTCCGGAGTGTGCCATGATGGACAGGCACTGAGTGGCCTGTCCCACAGCCTTGGCCAGAGGGGGCTGCTTTGGCAGGTTATGAGTCTCTGATGGGGGGGAGGAGAGAGAGAGAGGACAGCTATGTAAGGGATACATAACAAATCCATAGGCAATGCATAACACCTTCATATCCACTACATAGTAGCCAAAGAATTAGGCTATTCATCTAAAGGGGAAGAGCTACATAAGGGCCTTTGTGTGCACATTGTATTACATCTACAAAAAAAATATTATTTGATTCAACACAAACTACATACTTTCCTAGATCCATAAATGTCTAACATCAATAGGCAAGACATTACACTTCATATCCATAACATAGGCCTAGTAGCCAAGGACACTGTCTTTTTTTGCAATGGGAAGTCCCTAGGAGAGGAGTGCTACATAGCACATACATAGGCAATGCATAACACCAATTATCCACAAAATAGTAGCTAAGGACACTGCTAAAAGAGTAATTTAAAAAAATTGGAATGAGGTGATACTGCCATTCTTTCCATTTATGACCACATGGGTAAATAACTTCGGTCCATGTCACGTAAATATACACAAAATGAGCATTATTTATACAGAACCAGCATTAGTCTAATCAAAATGTTAAATTTACAGGGCCGGTTTCCCGGACACAGATTAAGCCAAGTTCTAGACTAAAAAGCATGTTCAATGGAGATGTTCTAGTATGGTATAACAATAGACTGCTGGACTGGGAATTGACCTAGGAATTGGCTGATAGGCTTTGAAGTGAATATATGTACAGTTGCGGCCAAATATATTGACGCTCTTGCACTTTTCAATAATTCCCTATTTTCTTGTAAAATAAGTAGAAATTGAAAATAAAGTTTGGTCTCCACACCTTGTTATTGGATTTTCAACATTGCAGAACCAATTTTTGTTTTGTAAACTTTAGTTTACAATTTTTATTTTGTAAAACAAAATGATTGGCACCCCGGAGCAAGTACTTCGCTGCACTGCCTTTGGCCAAGATAACTGCTGACAAACACTTCTTGTAGCCATCAATGAACTTGCTTCCCCCTTCTACTGGCAATTTGGCCCACTCTACAGCAGCAAACGGTTCTAATTCTTCAATGTTTGAGGGGTGCCCTCAGCCAACTGCTATTTTCAGATATCGTCATAGGTTATATGGATGTGATTCAGATCTGGACTCTTCGCTGGCCACTCCAGAACAGTCCAGCGTTTCTTTTTTAACCATTCCAGGGTGCTTTTGATGTGTGTTCGGGGTTGTTAATCCTATTGGAAGTCCCACACCTTGATAATCTGCTGATTTCTTGATGTCTCCAGTACAAGAGGCAGCAAAGCAACCCCACAGCATTATCAAACCTCCCCCGTGTTCTTTTCTTTGAATGCTTCATTTGGTCGTTGGTTCTGCAATGTTGAAAATCCAATAACAGGGTGTGGAGACCAATTTCTTTCTTTTTTTCTTTCAACTTATTTTAGAATTCAAAAGGCACTCGCACCTCTGAGCTATCTTTTTTGCAGGTGCATGGTAACAGTTGAATAAGATGTGAAAAAAAGAAGAAGAAACTCTTGACAGTATCACTGCTCTTTAATAAGCTTTACGTATCGGCCTCAAGGCCTTCGTCAGAGCTTTTGTGAGTTTTTTAAATTAGCACCCTTATATAGACATAGTCGCACCCACATTCGTTCCACTCCAAGTGCTACCAAATATAACAATGTGCATTTCATAAATATTCTAATACAGTGTATCTAATACATAAATGTATTAAACACGTCTGTAAACACTTTTTTTCCCTCAACTTATTTTAGAACAAATAAGGAATTATTTAAGAAAAGTGCAAGGGTGCCAATATATATTTGTCCGCAACTGTATGCGGTATTCCCTCACCAGTCGTGGTGTACCTACCTAGTATTGCACTGTTGAGTGTGGAACACACAGGTTCCCTCTGGATAGAGTCCAGCTGGTAGCCCACTGGGCTAGTCCACGGGTCTGAGTAGGCCAGCAGACTGAATGCATCCTACAGAGGGAGAGGAAGAAAGAAAGAAAGAAAGAGATTGGGAAGTAGAAATAGATAGACAGGGAAAAGAGAGAAAGTGAAAAGACAGCCAAGAAGAACGAGTGATGGGAAGAAGACAGTGCAGCAAAAAGAGAGAGGGGTGCAGTAACCTCAAATTATACAATACGTTTAAAGTTGACGTAACTGATCCGTGGTTATATTAGCAGTGGTGGTTTCGTTTAGTAGGATCCCCATTAGCTACCGCACATACAGGGTCTCACTGTGCCTCCCTTTCAGCATTGCACCTGTACTGCCACTGTAGCTCAATTCTACCTCGCAAACTTTGCATTTCACCACCTTCTCATTTAACTTCTCAAAGTATTGCCATACAGGACTTCGCTGCTGTCGCTTCTCTGTCTCACTCTGCCATATTTTTGATTTGATTTGATATTTCCAACTGTTAAAGATTATATCCGTGGCAAATAATTTGAAAGATGCATATCTCCTCCTAACGTTACAGCATTGTTGCGTTAGGGGTTGTAGGTATTACAATAATTTGTTTCTTTATGATGATGATCGGGACCCGTTAGTGGTAGTTTTGTAATAACTGCACTGTGATTAAAAAAATACAAATGTCAATGTTAACGATCCCAATTATGTTTAAACATTGAAACGTCACACCCATAGTAATGGTAATGTGAAATAAACGCAAACATTCCCAACAAAATAATTGACATCCCCAAGGCTTTATAGGTATTACATAGGGCTATATATCTGAAGTCGTTTGAACATTATTGCTAGATGGAGAGTACCTTGAGCATCTTCTTGTTGGCCGAGTTCTTGCCGCACTCGCGGCGTTTGTGCTCACTCATGCTCTGAAGCTCCCGGCCAAAGTGGATCATCCTCTCGATGGCCGCCTGGCTTCCCCCGCACAGCTGCCTCTTGGACTGGGCCGATTCCAACTCTGTTGGCACAGAACCAATCAAACATGCGCGTCACATTGGGACATACCATTCAGCCACTCAGAGGGGTGGTTTTGAAAGAGGCAGACATGATTGTCAATCATGTCAGTTGTAGACCCCCTCTTTTTTCTGTGACAAATGATATTTCATGATATTCGATGGGAATATTTTAAAAAGGTGCAATCTGTTAAATGATCATTTCAATTGTTGCTATTTTCCCACTGATTCTTGAATAATAGAAGTTATAAATGCCTCATGAGTTTAGCACAACTGTCTTATCATAACCCCAAAAATAAGGTTTTATTACTTTATCGTTTACCAACAACAAGAATGTAAACAATGAATAGCTGCAAAATTGTTTCAACTCATGTGGATGTCATGGCCTGTCACTCACCCATGTCTGCGTCACAGTCCTCGGTCTGGGCTCCGTGTTTGGAGGTGGCATTGAGGAGGAAGCCATTAGAGGAGGACTCAGTCACTCCGTTGGTGAAGTGGTCTACCTTCATGTCCACATCAGTACTGGGGGGTAAAACAGTAGGCAGACAATCAGCGTGTTTGAGGGGATCAGTTTGAGAAAAGCAAGGCACAGTGATAGAATTTCTAATCTTAATAACATAATGAGTAGTTATTTGGCATGTAAGGTGATTTGTAGATCAGTTGTTGGTTATGTGATACATTGTCAATATATTGTGTTGGGGGTAGATGTTAAGCAGGCTGTGCAAGACTGCATAGTGTTGGGTATATATTGTATGTTTAAAAAAATTTTTTATCTAGTGTTGGATGCATGTTGAGGTGTTTACAAGCTACTTAGTATTGGCTATACAGTGCATTCGGAAAGTATTCAGACCCCTGGACTTTTTCCACATTTTGTTACATTACATCCTTATTCTAAAATGGATTTAATTGTTTTTCAATCTATACACAATACATATCCCATAATGACAAAGCTTAAACAGGTTTTAGAATTTTTTGAAAATGTATTAAAAATCAAAAACCCAAATACCTTCTTTACATAAGCATTCAGACCCTTTGCAATGACTCGAAAATGAGCTCAAGTGAACTCAAGGACATTCAGAGACTTGTGCCGAAGCCACTCCTGCGTTGTCTTGGCTGTGTGCTTAGGGTCGTTGTCCTGTTGGAAGGTGAACCTTCGCCCCAGTCTGAGGTCCTGAGCGCTCTGGAGCAGGTTTTCATCAAGGATCTCTCTGTACTTTCCCTTGATCCTGACTAGACTCCCAGTATCTGCCACTGAAAAACATCCCCACAGCATGATGCTGCCACCACCATGCTTCACCGTAGTGATGGTACCAGGTTTCCTCCAGACATGACGCTTAGCATTCAGGCCCTGCCCCACCTGCTCTGAATGATGGGTCGCCACTGAAGAGAATGCACTTTACTGTTTGACCAAATGATTTAATAGCTAAATAGTTAACTAGCTAGGTAACGAAGTGAGCTAACTAGCCAAGCTACAAGCAATGTTTCGAATTGGCTATCTATTTTGTAGCCTACCTTACTCGCTGTGCTCTCATCTGGCAAAGGCCGACTTGCAGTGGCACACACACACACACAGAGTCGTAGGCTACATGTCGAGCTCTCTAGCATCTTGAAAATCTAAGACTTTTTAAGGACCCGCGGACAGCCTGCATATAAACTGGTGCTTCACAATCTGGTGCTCCTGAATTTCATGTGGTGCTCCTAACTTAAAGTTGGGTGCACCAGTAAAAAAATTAATAAATAGAGCCCTGTCAGTACCTGATGTTGGTTAGTTTGTTCAGTACATAGTCTTATGTGCGTGTTCAGTACATTATAGTCTTGTGCATGTTCAGTACCTGGTGTTAAGCTGCTGCAGGCTGTGGCTGCCATTGAGGGCGTTGACCTCGGTTGCGGGGAGGGCGGGGTGGACCATACTGGAGGTCACCCCATTGCAGCAGCCGCCGTCGAACCCTGGGGTGCAACCAGGACATGCATACAGTCGTGAAAAGACCATACTAGACACAAACAAGGAGAATGGCAAGCTAAATCAAGCACACCTCAAGTATTTGACTAAATGTATTTGATCCAGGTCTGGGTCATGTTCATTAGGGCATGCAATGGAGAACATTTTAAAACATTTTGCAATAAAAAACCAAAATAACAATTTCTTATTGGACACGTGCAGTTAGTCCCTCCCTGTTTCAGTCAGTTTTCTTCCATTTGGTACCTAATGAACACGCCCCAGAGTAATATTCATAAGGGAGCAAAACTGTAGCAAAACGTGGTGCAACGGAAAACATAAACAATTGGACCATTTCAGATAGTACATCCCCATTTTGGCCTGTTTAGCCTAATAAACAGCACATCCCTGTTTACTGTTTAATGAACAGTACATACCTGTTTGGGTCTGTTTAGTGTTTAGTGCCTAATGAACACAACCAAGATGAGTGAATATACAGTGCATTCGGAAGTATTAAGACCCCTTGACCTTTTCCATATTTTGTTACATTACAGCCTTATTCTAAAATTGATTAAATTGAATTTTTACTCCTCAATTATGACAAAGCAAAAACAGGTTTTTAGAAATGTTTGCACATTTATGAAAAGAAAAAAAAAAAACGGAAATATCACATTTACATAAGTGTTCAGACCCTTTACTCAGTACTTTGTTGAAGCACCTTTGGCAGCGATTACAGCCTCGATTACAGCCCTTCTTCCCCCAATTGCTCAGTTTGGCCGGGCGGCCAGCTCTAGGAAGAGTCTTGGTGGTTCCAAACATCTTCCATTTAAGAATGATGGAGGACACTTTGTTCTTGGGGACCTTCAATGCTGCAGACATTTTTTGGTACCCTTCCCCAGATCTGTGCCTTGACACAAACTTGTCTCTGAGCTCTATGGACAATTCCTTCAACCTCATGGCTTGGTTTTTGATATGCACTGTCAATTGTGGGACCTTATATAGACAGGTGTGTGCCTTTCCAAATCATGTCCAATCAATTGAATTTACCACAGGTGGACTCCAATCAAGTTGTAGAAACATCTCAAGGATGATCAATGGAAACATGATGCACCTGAGCTTAATTTCAAGTCTCATAGCAAAGGGTCTGAATACTTATGTAAATAATGTATTTCTGTTTTAATTTTTTATAAATTAGCAAAATATTCTAAAAACTGGGGTATTGTGTGTAGATTGATGAGGATTTTTATTTATTTAATCAATTTTAGAATAAGGCTATAACATAACAAAATGTGGGAGGAAAAGGGTCTGAATACTTTCCAAATGCACTGTATCATGTACCTGTGAGGTAGGCCTGGGAGCTGCTGGCTTTGTGGCTGTGGCTGCTGAAGGGGGGGGGCGGGCCCGGGTAGCTGTCCTGGGACTTGGGATTGCAGCCTCCCAGGCAGCGCACTTCGCTGTCAGTCCCGTTCACCATCTCGATGAACTGTCTCACCCTGAGAGATGAGGGGGTTCAGGGATCTATAACGACTTTCAGCTTGAAGAACCATCTAACACCAAGTTGTAAAATCCTGAACTTCCCCTTAAATGTGGCGAAACTGCCTATCCCTGACCGTGACTCACTTCAGCATGAATAACAGGTCAGGGTTCCTTTCCAATAGGCTGGGGTACAGCTGTTGGGTGTTCTTGATGGCCTCTCCCATTCTGCCTGACAACACCAGCTTCTGGATCTCTGCAAGCACATCCCATTTACAGTCATTCACATATTGTTAGGAAACTTCTTATTGAGTGTTATGGCATTTCACATTCTTCTCCAAGGGTCCGAGATCATCAAAATGTGAACAAGTGTTATGGACAATCATTTATCTTATGCCCATTCCATTTTGGTGTGTCTCTTAGCAATATGGTGATGGCTCCACCTATACCAACAACTATCCATCTAGTCCTGTCATACTGTAATATGTGAATGTAGCATAAAATACTAATAATATACTCAACAAAGCAGATACCGTTGAAGTCGGAAGTTTACATACACCTTAGCCAAATACATTTAAACTCAGTTTTTCACAATTCCTGACATTTAATCCTAATTAAAATTCCCTGTTTTAGGTCAGTTAGGATCACCACTTTATTTTAAGAATGTGAAATGTCAGAATAATAGTAGAGAGAATGATTTATTTCAGCTTTTATTTATTTCATCACATTCCCAGTGGGTCAGACGTTTACATACACTCAAATTAGTATTTGGTAGCATTGCCTTTAAATTGTTTAACTTGGGTCAAACGTTTTGGGTAGCCTTCCACAAGCTTCCCACAATAAGTTGGGTGAATTTTGGCCCATTCAACCTGACAGAGCTGGTGTAACTGAGTCAGGTTTGTAGGCCTCCTTGCTCGCACACGCTTTTTCAGTTCTGCCCACAACTTTTCTATAGGATTGAGGTCAGGGCTTTGTGATGGCCACTCCAATACCTTGACTTTGTTGTCCTTAAGCCATTTTGCCACAACTTTGGAAGTATGCTTGGGGTCATTGTCCATTTGGAAGACCAATTTGCGACCAAGCTTTAACTTCCTGACTGATGTCTTGAGATGTTGCTTCAATATATCCACATGATTTTCCTTCTTCATGATGCCATCTATTTTGTGAAGTGCACTAGTCCCTCCTGCAGCAAAGCACCCCCCACAGCATGATGCTGCCACCCCCGTGCTTCACGGTTGGGATGGTGTTCTTCGGGTTGCAAGCATCCCCCCTTTTCCTCCAAACATAACGATAACATAACATTATGGCCAAACAGTTCTATTTTTGTTTCGTCAAACCAGAGGACATTTCTCCAAAAAGTACGATCTTTGTCCCCATGTGCAGTTGCAAACCGTACTCTGGCTTTTTTATGGCGGTTTTGGAGTAGTGGCTTCTTCCTTGCTGAGCGGCCTTTCAGGTAATGTCGATATAGGACTCGTTTTACTGTGGATATAGATACTTTTGTACCTGTTTCCTCTAGCATCTTCACAAGGTCCTTTGCTGTTGTTCTGGGATTGATTTGCACTTTTCGCACCAAAGTACGTTCATCTCTAGGAGACAGAACGCATCTCCTTCCTGAGCGGTATGACGACTGCGTGGTCCCATGCTGTTTATACTTGCGTATGATTGTTTGTACAGATGAACGTGGTACCTTCAGGCGTTTGGAAATTGCTCCCAAGGATGAACCAGACTTGTGGAGGTCTAAAAAAAAATTCTGAGGTCTTGGCTGATTTCTTTTGATTTTCCCATGATGTCAAGCAAAGAGGCACTGAGTTTGAAGGTAGGCCTTGAAATACATCCAAAGGTACACCTCCAATTGACTCAATGTCTCCCGAGTGGCGCAGTGGTCTAAGGCACTGCATCGCAGTGCTAGCTGTGCCACTAGAGATCCTGGTTCGAATCCAGGCACTGTCATAGCCGGCCGCGACCGGGAGACCCATGGGGCGGCGCACAAGTCGTCCAGGGTAGGGGAGGGAATGGCCGGCAGGGATGTAGCTCAGTTGGTAGAGCATGGCGTTTGCAACGCCAGGGTTGTGGGTTCGATTCCCATGGGGGGCCAGTATGAAAATATATATATATATATAAAATAATGTATATACTCACTAACTGTAAGTCGCTCTGGATAAAAGTGTCTGCTAAATGACGTAAATGTAAAATGTAATTAGCCTTTTAGAAATTTCTAAAGCCATTACATCATTTTCTGGAATTTTCCAAGCTGTTTAAAGGCACAGTCAACTTAGTGTATGTAAACTTCTGACCCACTGGAATTGTGATACAGTGAATTATAAGTGAAATAATCTGTCTGTAAACAATTGTTGGAAATAGTACTTGTGTCATGCACAAAGAAGATGTCCTAACTGACTTGCCAAAACTATAGTTTGTTAACAAGAAATTTGTGGTGTGGTTGAAAAACAAGTTTTAATGACTACAACCTAAGTGTATGTAAACTTCAGACTTCAACTGTACATAAGTCAATGACAGGACACATACCCCAAGCCCATCTTTCACGCACGCACATACACACAACACACTCTGTCTGTTTTTGATGGAGATCAGCTCCTCGTGCACAGCCTGGTTGGTGGATTTGGCAAAGGCTTTGGCTGTGACACAGTAACTATGGTGGACCAGGTAGGATGCCACCATTCTGTGGAGACAAAGAGGTGGGAGAAACATAACAGCTTAGAGAGAATATAAATAATATGATTTGCTGCCTTCAAATTATGTTGGGAATTTGGAAATACGAGGTTCAGACTCGAAAATAAACACTTGAACAACCCTCCATTTTCCGAATTACAAGTGGAGATACATTTCATCAGTGACCTTTCCGTTTTTTAACAAAGCCATTTGTCAATGTACGTAAGATTGCTAATAAAAATAAAGTTAGCTATGTTAGAAAAATAATTATTCTAACTTCAAAATCACTTTAACACAATCACGTCGTATTTACACCTTCACAACTGGGAAATATGAGATTTCAAGGAGCATTTGAAAGCAGGAATAATACAAGTCAATCCAGTTACATCAGAAGCCGGTGGGAAATGTAGTTTCCTGTTTCCCTTGGTGTGTACAGCTACAAGGGAAGGGACTTACTTCTGGATCATGGACTGCCACTCTCCCTCCCTGTCCCCTATCGGGAATCTGTCGATCTGGGCCTGGATCTTGGTCCTCCACTCGCGCATGTAGTCATCGATGTCAAACACAAACGGGTGCTGGCCAAAGTTGGAGTCCACAACCTCCCCAGGGGTCTGCAGCCCCACTGTGGGGTACATGTTGAGCTAGTGGGGGGGAACACAAAAGGGATGTGTGAAGGAAAATCTTTTGTTTGTGCTTTTCTAATAACCAATTCGACTGGGTTCATGCAAGTGACTGATTGATTGTGCCTGGGAGGAATCCTCACTATCAGTATAAACAATTTGACAGTACGCCCAGAACATTGTTTTGAGAACGGAAAGGGATATCTCAGTTTCAAGGTCTCAGATTGGAGAGAAGCCGCCTCGTGAAGTATTGGTCGGTCACAGGCATGAACCAAAAGTTAATGATTACTTAATTATGAATAATGTACAGTGCCTTCGGAAAGAATTCAGACCCCTTGAATATTTCCACATTTTGTTATGTTACAGCCTTACTCTAAAATTGATTAAATTGTTTTTTCCCCCCTCATCAATCTCCACACAATACCCCATAATACTAAAGAAAAAACAGGTTTTTAGAGAAGTTTACTAATTTATATATATTTTTTAAACTGAAATATCACATTTACATAAGTATTCAGACCCTTTACTCAGTACTTTGTTGAAGCACCTTTGGCAGCGATTACAGCCTTGAGTCTTCTTGGGTATGACGCTACAAGCTTGGCACACCTGTTTTCGGGGAGTTTCTCCCAGTCTTCTGGCTGGGCCACTCAAGGACTTGTCCCGAAGCCACTCCTGCATTGTCTTGGCTTTGCGCTTAGGGTCCTTGTCCTGTTGGAAAGTGAACCTTCACCCCAGTCTGAGGTCGTCAGCGCTCTGGAGCAGGATTTCATCAATGATCTCTCTGTACTTTGCTCCGTTCATCTTTGCCTCGATCCAGAGTAGTCTCCCAGTCCCTGCCGCTGAAAAACAACCCCACAGCATGATGCTGCCACCACCATTCTTCACCGTAGGGATGGTGCCAGGTTTCCTCCAGACGTGACGCTTGGCATTCAGGCCAAAGAGTTCAATCTTGGTTTCATCAGACCAGACTATCTTGTTTCTCATGGTCTGAGAGTCTTTAGGTGCCTTTCGGCAAACTCCAAGCCGGCTATCATGTGCCTTTTCCTGAGGAGTGGCTTCCGTCTGGCCACCCTACCATAAAGGCCTGATTGGTGGAGTGCTGCAGAGATGGTTGTCCTTCTGGAAGGTTCTCCCATCTCCACAGAGGAATTCTAGAGCTCTGTCAGAGTGACCATCGGGTTCTTGGTCACCTCCCTGACCAACACCCTTCTCCCCCGATTGCTCAGTTTGGCCGGGCGGCCAGCTCTAGGAAGAGTGTTGGTGGTTCCAAACATCTTCCATTTAAGAATGATGGAGGCCACTGTGTTCTTGGGGACCTTCAATGCTGCAGACATTTTTTGGTACCCTTCCCCAGATCTGTGCCTTGACACAATCCTGTCTCGGAGCTCTACGGACAATTCCTTCAACCTCATGGCTTGTTTTTTGCTCTGACATGCACTGTCAACTGTGGGACCTTATATAGACAGGTGTGTGCCTTTCCAAATCATGTCCAATAAATTGAATTTACCACAGTTGGACTCCAATCAAGTTGTAGTAACACCTCAAGGATGATCAATGGAAACAGGATGCATCTGAGCTCAATTTCGAGTCTCATAGCAAAGGGTCTGAATACTTACATTAATAAGGTATTTCTGTTTTTTATTTGTAAAGACATTTGCAAAGATTTCTAAAAACCTGTTTTGCTTTGTCATTATGGGGTATTGTGTGTAGATTGATGAGGAATAAAAAACAATTTAATACATTTTAGAATTAGGCTGTAACATACCAAAATGTGAAAAAAGTGAAGTGCTCTGAATAATTTCTGAATGCACTGTATAGGCTAAGTTGATGAGCAAATGCTCATGTCAGTCCTCTAGAACGTAAATGTAGTCTTCCTAGCAGGACTCTGCTGCGTAAGTTGTGCGCATCCATTTCAGAGTGTTTTGGAAGTCAAGTAAAAGTAAACTCCTTCGACTCCAACCACAGGAGTTGGAGTTGACTCAGAATCTTGGAGTCGTGCACCACTACGGCAGGTGATGTTCAAACACAGAAACGCTAAAGTGCCATTCCGATCGTGGCAGATATGTAGATTTTTATTTTATTTAAAAGATATTTAAAAACTGTGCCTAGATAAATGCATTAACATAAATTATGAAATTAATTTCCATGACTTTTCAGATTTGATCATTTTTCGAAAATTTCAGGCTTAGAAAAAACACTTTTTTAATTCCATGACTTTTCCATGATTTTCATGTACGAACCCTGCTCATTGATTCTTGAATAATATAATGTATAAATGTCTCATGAATTTAGCACAACTGTATGTCTTTATCATAACCCAAAATACCAGATTATTACTCTATTGTTTACGAACAAAAATAATGTAAACAATGTATAGCTTCAAATAGGGTTAAAACGTTCTCTTAGATGTAATTGAATGTTAGTTCATGCATCTACAGTGCGGCCTATGAGTGAGAAGGATTACATTTCCCTTATCCCATCCTTCAGGTCAGTTGTGTACCAAAAGTGGCAGGGCTGCAGTTTTAAAATCCCAGAATGTAGCTTTAAAAATATGAAATGGGCAGAGGGAGGATACTTACCGGTAGATCTATAAAGGCTATTCCTAGAGGATAGGAGAAAAGATAAAGAAAGCATCTCTCAGACTGAATATCTTATTTTCAGTACAGGCATGCATGATGCAGCATATCAACTCTATTCAAACCAGGGGTTGGAAACGGTTCAGGGAACAGAACCGAAAACTGGAAAAGAAAGACTGTTCCTCTAAAACTGAGTCAGAACCTAAATGAAAGTGATATACAGTGCTGTGGAAAAGTATTTGCCCCCTTTCAAATTTTCTCTACTTTGCATATTTTTGATACTGAATGTTATCAGATCTTCAACCAAAACCTAATACTAGATAAAAGGGAACCTGAGTGAGCAAATAACACAACAATTACATACTTATTTAATTTATTTAATAAACAAAGCTATGCAACACCCAATGCCCCTGTGTGAAAAAGTAATTTCCCCGTTACACTCAGTAACTGGTTGTGCCACCTTTAGCTCCAATGACTGCAACCAAATGCTTCCTGTAGTTGTTGATAAGTCTCTCACGTCGCTGTGGAGGAATTTTGGCCCACTCTTCCATGCAGAAATGCTTTAACTCAGCGACATTTGTGGGTTTTCAAGCATGAACCTGCCACAACCTCTCAATTGGGATTAGGTCTGGACTTCGACTAGGCCATTCCAAATCTTCAGATGTTGCTTTTTAGCAATTTTCATGTAGACTTGATTGTTTGTTTTGGATAGTCTTGCTGCATGACCCAGCTGCGCTTCAGCTTCAGCTCACAGAAGGATGGCCTGACATTCTCCTGTAAAATTCTCTGATACAGAACAGAATTCATGGTTCCTTCTATTAAGACAAGTCGTCCAGGTCCTGAGGCAATTTAAGCATCCCGAAAACATCACACTACCACCACCATGCTTGACCGTTGGTATAAGGTTCTTACTGTGGAATGCAGTGCTTGTTTTTTTACCAGGCATAATGATACCCCGGGGGGGAGGTACTACAAAGATATATGGAATTGTTTTAACAAGGTCATACCGGGGATCATTTTGATTTTGAATTAAGACCCCTTGAAGTATCAAAAAACTATATACAAAATGTATTGAAAGAAAAACTATTTATTTTGGGACTTACCGCTATTAGCCCATACAAATGCATTGAATAACAGATCCACTACAAGGAACAACAGATAGTCCCCCCAAAAAATCTAAAGGAACTTTGTTCTGAAGTGTCTGTCCTATATCTGAGAGATACACTACATGACCAAAAGTATGTGGACAACTGTTTGTCCAACAATTGTCGAACATTCCAAAATCATGGGCATTAATATGGAGTTGGTCCCCCCTTTGCAGCTATAACAGCCTCCACTCTTCTGGGAAGGCTTTCTACTAGATGTTGGAACATTGCAGCAGGGACTTCCATTCAGCCACTAGAGCATTAGTGAGGTCGGGCACTGATGTTGGGCGATAAGGCCTGGCTCGCAGTTGGCGTTCCAACTCATCCCAAAGGTGTTCGACGGGGCTGAGGTCAGGGCTCAGTCAAGTTCTTCCACACCGATATCGACAAACCATTTCTGTATGGACCTCGCTTTGTGCAAGGGGGCATTGTCATGCTGAAACAAGAAAGGGCCTTCCCAAACTGTTGCCACAAAGTTGGAAGCACAGAATCGTCTACAATGTCATTGTATGCTGTAGCGTTAAGATTCCCCTTCACTGGAACTAAGGGGCCTAGCCCGAACCATGAAAAACAGCCCCAGACAATTATTCCTCCTCCACCAAACTTTACAGTTGGCACTATGCATTCGGGCAGGTAGCGTTCTCCTGGCATCCGCCAAACCCAGATTTGTCCGTCGGACTGCCAGATGGTGAAGCGTGATTCATCACTCCAGAGAACGTTTCCACTGCTCCAGAGTCCAATGGGGCGAGCTTTACACCACTCCAGGCGACGCTTGGCATTGCACATGGTGATCTTAGGCTTGTGTGTGGCTGCTCGACCATGGAAACCCATTTCATGAAGTTCCCGACAAACAGTTCTTATGCTGGCGTTGCTTCCAGAGGCAGTTTGGAACTCAGTAATGAGTGCTGCATCCAAGGACAGACGATTTTACGTGCTACGCACTTCAGCACTCGGCGGTCCCGTTATGTAAACTTGTGTGGCCTACCACTTCGCGGCTGAGCTGTTGTTGCTCCTAGATGTTTCCACTTCACAATAACAGCACTTATAGTTGACCAGGGCAGCTCTAGCAGGGCAGAAATTTGATGAACTGACTTGTTGGAAAGGTGACATCCTATGACGGTGCCACGTTGAAAGTCACTGAGCTCTTCAGTAAGGCCATTCTACTGCTAACATTTGTCTATGGAGATTGCATGGCTGTGTGCTCGATGTTATACACCTGTCAGCAACGGGTGTGGCTGAAATTGCCAAATCCACTAATTTGAAGGGTTGTCCACATGCATTTGTATACATAGTGTATAAGAAAGATTTCTTTTTTTCCCATGTATTTAACCCTTTATTTTTGGCACTAAACAGTCTAAGCCGGGGGAGATAACATTTTATGAAAAACGTTATTTGGCCTTCCTGCTATTAGCCCATACAAACCCATTAAATAACAGATTCACTGTAACAACAGATAGCCCCCCCAAAAAATATCTAAAGGAAGTTTGTTCTGAAGTGTCTATCCTATATCTGAGAGAGATAAGAAAGATCGGGAAACATTTGTTATTTAACCCCTTACTTTTGACTAAACAGTCTCCATATACAGTATACTTCCATTATTTTTTCCAACACCTACAGACGAGTCTTGTAAGGCCTGTGGGGTCCTAGAGCAAAACAACCGACACGTACGTGTCATATTAGTTTGTAGCCCAAACTGTTCGGATGCTACAGACAGACGTTGGCAGATCGGCTATACCGACTTCAGACGAGTCCCAATACACTTGTTGGGGTCGTAGAGCAAAACAGAGAGTCTCATCTTTCCATAGAGGGGCCATAATAGTTTGTAGGACAAACCGTTCGGACACTACAGACAATTTTGTGAGAAGAATGATTTTCGCGATGTCTCATGGTCTGACAAACACCGCTCTAGCTCTGATGCGGAAGTGTTACATAGGCGTATGTACACTACACTTGTCTGTCCAATGCATGTAAATAGCTTGCCCGCTCCATAGCAAGCTGCTTTATCCGCACTGATTGGTGAAGTCATTGAATGTAAAAAATGTAAATTTCAGAGGCTTAAAAAGGAACAATATAAACTAATTTTTTTGGGGGTTCCAACTGGTTCAGAACTTTATTTTGCTGGTCGGGAATAGTGGAACGGAACCCAAAAAAAATGGTTATGTTCAAAACGAAACGATTGGAAAATAACTTCGATTCCAACACCTGATTCAAACCATGAAGTTGAATTTGACATTAAATATAGTATCTCGTTAAAGGGTGGGGAAGACGTTAGATGTTAGTTCAGAGTGGGTAGGGTTTTCTTCACTTTTGCCTGCATAGACTACTGCTGTGTAAACCTAGAGCTTGGCGATATGGATAAAAATCCATATCATGATAAATTGACAATTATTACGATAACTAAAACGATACGTTTATAACATTAATGTGCACTGGTTAGCCTACTTTTGTATATTATCGTACCCTAAGAACTACTTTGAATGTTGTAAATATCAATTATTGTACAGGTAGCAATAGCCCATATTAGCAGACTTATTTCATTTCAAACGTCACATTTATGTAGTATAGGCTACTTATCGTGAATATTGATATCAGTAAAATGTCCTCGATAAATAGTCGGTCTTGATCATTTTCGGTTTATCGTCCCGGCTCCATGTAAATTTATGTCACGTATGGGTATTGCAAACAATACAGTGTACACCTTTGACTTCTGGTATGAGGATAACTTTCCGGACCCAAACGCCACCCAGATAATTTTCCAGATCCAAAACACCACAAGAACTAGCCCAAAATACCTTTTCGTCCACTTTAGGAAATCACCCAATAACTCCCCCAAAAGTTTAGCAACTGAATTCCACAGCTTAAGTTCCCTTGTGGAAAAAAAAGGCCTACATTTCATTTGCACAATTCTATTTCTATTAATTAAATTATATTTTATGTTCTACAGCAGGTGTACAGAACGTACCTAAGCTGTGGCCATTCTTTGTGTAGAAGCACGTGTTGTTGATGAGGTTGACACAGCAGCCAATCACGTCACCCGTGGTGAACGTGGGGCCATAGGGCTGCCCCGTGCCGGAGGAGCAGAAGGAGTGGCCATCGTCTCCGTGGTAACCATACGAGTGTTTGTCCCAACCTGAGAAAAACATACATTGTCAACACTCTGAAAGATGATGCCTTGACTTACAATATAAGTACAGTACTTTATCAAACCCCAAAGGGGAAATTTGTTTTCAGTAGCCAATACATACAACACCAATAAACACACAAATACACAACAATGGACATACAGACACTAAAATAAGCATTTTAAGCTAAATGTCTACGGAAACGTTCCATCTTAAACCTGGGTGAAATATAGGCCTATCTATCTGTCATGGCACTGGTTAGAAGCACACATTTATTTTAGTATGGGCTTTTTAAAAAAGGGGCAATCTCCAGTTTCTGCATATTATTTTTTTTACTTATAAATTAATATAACCATTGATTCTTGAATATCACTTAGAACTGCTTCATCAGCTTAGTTTAACTGTCGTGCCCCACCAGAGCCCAAAATATAAGCTTGTTTTACTCCAATGTCTGTAAATGTAAACAAACACTATATAGCCTCAAAACATGGTTAAAATTATAATTTTGATATCATGGATGGTCAGTCCTTGCATCCCTAGCTCCGTTTGAATTTGAGAGTAATTACATTTCTTCAACCCCATCGCTCAGCCTTTTACAAAGCAGGGGCAAGGAAAAACCTATGTTAGTGTTTCAAATGTTGAATGAACCGTTTAAAGTTCTGACCTAACAATAATTCTGTGTATTGGTGTATTATGTAAACGAATTGTTTATACTATTTTAGGTCACTGCTATAATGTCACATTTATTTAGGAATTTCTCTCATTTGAATCTTGTGTGTATTAGATTTCCTAAGAATTAGCCACATTCCAACAGTTGATCCTGTTCTGTGGGTAACAAAGCTAACATGCCTGAAATAGCTCTAAAAACAGTTTTATTAGCAATTAGCATGATTTAGCAACTAGCCATTACTTAGCAAAGATATGGCAGTAATAGTTTGCAAGCTGTGGGGATAAAGGGGGATTGTGGGGATCTATTTTCTCATAATTGGATCCGTATGTGATGAATAGCTTAGAAGGAATGCATTAATGATAAGCATAGAAGGTTTGTACTATACTGATATAAATTGTTTCACATAACAAGCTGTGATTCATGTAAGGAACGTTAGGGGGTAGGACAGATAAGACTTGTATTTCTTACAGATACGAACACTGCCTCTTTGTTGTCTGTGAACCGTTGTCTGTGAACCGTCCTTGAACATAGGTACTCACAGTACAGTGGAATGGTGTTTTTTGGGTGCTGACTCTACAGGTTGTTATGATAAAAACTTATGCCTGGCAACAGTGTGCAACAAGTGGAGCGCCAAGGGACTGGGACCAGCCGGTGCGCCAACGGATTGGCTGAGTAAGTCTAAACCACGCTCAGTCTCTACTCTGATTGGCCAGCAGGGAGCGGGAACTATCTCTGTCAGAGTATTTTAAGGAGAACTCATAACAATGGATTAGTTCTCTGAGTGCCCTGCGTGGTATTTCAGTGGACCAGTATATACGAACATCATATTTACCATTGAAGTGTTAGCATTAATTAAAATACTAGTCTATTTAGAAGACGTGTATTGACCTCTTTTGTTCCTAATACCAGATTTGAATTGACGCAACTTAACAAAGCCCTGCCATATCTGACGAGCGTCAGAGCCAGTGTAGTAGGATTCAATCTTAGTCCTGTATTGACGCTTTGCCTGTTTGATGGTTAGTCTGAGGGCATAGCGGGATTTCTTATAAACGTCCGGATTAGTGTCCCGCTCCTTGAAAGCGCTCGGAGCGGATGTTGCCTGTAATCCATGGCTTCTGGTTGGGATATGTATGTACGGTAACTGTAGGTACGACGTCGTCTATGCACTTTTTGATGAAGCCGGTGACTGAGGTGGTATACTTCTCAATGTCATTGGATGAATTCCGGGACATATTCCAGTCTGTGCTAGCAAAACAGTCCTGTAGCGTAGCATCCGCGTCATCTGACCACTTCCGTATTGAGCGAGTCACTGGTACTTCCTGCTTTAGTTTTTGCTTGTAAAGCGGAATCAGGAGGATAGAATTATGGTCAGATTTGCCAAATGGAGGGCGAGAGAGAGCTTTGTATGCGTCTCTCTGTGTGTGGAGTAAAGGTGGTCTAGAGTTTTTTTCCCCTCGTTGCACATGTGACATGCTGGTAGAAATTAAAGTCCCCGGACACTAGGAATGCCACTTCTGGATGAGCATTTTCTTGTTTGCTTATGGCCTTATAAAGCTCGTTGAGTAATCCATCCACCTGACAGGTGTGGTATATCAAGAAGCTGATTAAAAAGCATGATCATTACACAGGTGAAACTTGTGTAATGTGCAGTTTTGTCACACAACACAATGCCATTGTCTCAAGTTTTGAGGGAGTGTGCAATTGGCATGCTGACTGTAGGAATGTCCACCAGAGCTGTTGCCAGAGAATTGAATGTTAATTTTTCATTTTAGAGAATTAGGCACTATGTCCAATTGGCCTCACATGTGTATGGCATCATGTGGGCGAGCGGTTTGCTGATGTCAATGATCACAATTGCATTTTATCGATGGCAATTTGAATGCAAAAAAAGACCATGATGAGATCCTGAGGCCCATTGTGAGGCCCATTTGTTTTACGGTATCTGTAACCAACAGATGCATATCTGTATTCCCAGTCATGTGAAATCCATAGATTAGGGCCTAATTAATTTATTTCATTTGACTGATTTCCTCATATGAACTGTAACTCAGTAAAATCTTTTAAATTGTTGCATGTTGCGTTTATATTTTTGTTCAGTATATTTTACATTTTTTTTATATGTATAGACAAACAAAATAAGGATAGGAATTCAAACTATACAGCAGCTTCTCATCTAAATCATGTTGCACACTTGATTAACGCTATGATTCACAAATGTGTGGATACTTTCAAAAGCGTTTAATTTTCACTTTGGCTACCAGAGCAAAAATGCTGACTACTGGTATGAAGGTAATTAAGGTCATTCTTGAAGGGACATGGTGTGGGAGAGCCATTGTCTTTACAATGCAACATTCAGAGGGGTGTATGTGGTGTAGATGTCTCCCAAACTACCTCCGGATGGAATCTAGATCTGTCTCTTTTAGTGTTGCACGGCATACCAAAATGTCAATACTAGAACATCGGTACTATAATTTGTTTATCTTTCGGTACTTCTGTCAAATGTGTCTCACAGATCAAGTCTGTCTATCAGCGTTGTCTTGACTATGTGCCTAGGGTCGTTGTCCTGTTGGAAGGTGAACCTTTAACCCAGTCTGAGGTCCTGAGAGCTCTGGAGCAGGTTTTCATTAAGGATCTCTGTGCACTTTGCTCCGTAGGGATGGTGCCAGGGTTCCTCCAGACGTAACGCTCAGTTCAATCTTGGTTTCATCAGAACAGAGAATCTTGTTTCTCATGGTCTGAGAGTCCTTTAGGTGACTTTTGGCAAACTCCAGAGATGGTTGTCCTTCTGGAAGGTTCTCCCATCTCCACAGAGGAACTCTGGAGCCCTGTCAGAGTGACCATCGGGTTCTTGGACACCTCCGTGACCAAGGCCCTTCTCTCCTGACTGCTCAGTTTGGCCGGGCGGCCAGCTCTAGGAAGAGTCTTGGTGGTTCCAAACTTCTTCCATTTAAGAATTATGGAGGCCACTGTGTTCTTGGGGACCTTCAATGCTGCAGAAAGATTTTGGTACCCTTCCCAAGATCTGTGTCTCGACACAATCCTGTCTCGGAGCTCTACAGACAATTCCTTCGACCTCATGGCTTGGTTTACATTTACATTTTAGTCATTTAGCAGACGCTCTTATCCAGAGCGACTTACAGTTAGTGAGTACATACATATTTGTATTTATTTTTCATACTGGCCCCCCGCGGGAATCAAACCCACAACCCTGGCGTTGCAAACACCATGCTCTACCAACATCCCTGCCGGCCATTCCCTCCCCTACCCTGGACGACGCTGGGCCAATTGTGCGCTGCCCCATGGGTCTCCCGGTCACGGCCGGCTACGACAGAGCCTGGATTCGAACCAGGATCTCTAGTGGCACAGCTTTGAATGCCTTAGACCACTGCGCCACTCGGGTTTCTGCTCTGACATGCACTGTCAACTGTGAGACCTTATATAGACAGGTGTGTGCCTTTCCAAATCATGTCCAATCAATTGAATTTACCACAGGTGGACTCCAATCAAGTTGTAGAAACATCAAGGATGATCAATGGAAACTGGATGCACCTAAGCTCAAAGTGAAGGGTCTGAATACGTATGTAAATAAGGTATTTCCGTTTATAAATTTTTAATTGTGCAAAAGATTCTAGAAACCTGTTTTCATTTTGTCATTATGGGGTATTGTGTGTAGATTGATGTTTTATTTTTATTTTTTTAATCCATTTTAGAATGAGGCTGTAACGTAACAAAATATGGAAAAAGTCAAGAGGTCTGAATACTTAACGAATGCCCTGTATATACACATACATACATACATATACATATATATATATATATATACACACATATATACATATATATATATATATATACACATACATATATACATACACATATATATATATATATATATATACACATACATATATACATACACATATATATATATATATATATATATATATATATATAATATATATATATATATATATATATATATATATATATATATATACATATATATACATATATACATACACACACACAGTGGGGAGAACAAGTATTTGATACACTGCCGATTTTGCAGGTTTTCCTACTTACAAAGCATGTAGAGGTCTGTAATTTGTATCATAGGTACACTTCAACTGTGAGAGACGGAATCTAAAACAAAAATCTAGAAAATCACATTATATGATTTTTAAGAAATTAATTTGCATTTTATTGCATGACATAAGTATTTGATCACCTACCAACCAGTAAGAATTCCAGCTCTCACAGACCTGTTAGTTTTTCTTTAAGAAGCCCTCCTGTTCTCCACTCATTACCTGTATTAACTGCACCTGTTTGAACTCGTTACCTGTATAAAAGACACCTGTCCACACACTCAAACAGACTCCAACCTCTCCACAATGGCCAAGACCAGAGAGCTGTGTAAGGACATCAGGGATAAAATTGTAGACCTGCACAAGGCTGGGATGGGCTACAGGACAATAGGCAAGCAGCTTGGTGAGAAGGCAACAACTGGTGGCGCAATTATTAGAAAATGGAAGAAGTTCAAGATGACGGTCAATCACCCTCGGTCTGGGACTCCATGCAAGATCTCACCTCGTGGGGCATCAATGATCATGAGGAAGGTGAGGGATCAGCCCAGAACTACACGGCAGGACCTGGTCAATGACCTGAAGAGAGCTGGGACCACAGTCTCAAAGAAAACCATTAGTAACACACTACGCCGTCATGGATTAAAGCCAGCGCATGTCCAGGCCCGTCTGAAGTTTGCCAATGACCATCTGGATGATCCAGAGGAGGAATGGGAGAAGGTCATGTGGTCGGATGAGACAAATATAGACCTTTTTGGTCTAAACTCCACTCGCCGTGTTTGGAGGAAGAAGAAGGATGAGTACAAACCCAAGAACACCATCCCAACCGTGAAGCATGGAGGTGGAAACATCATTCTTTGGGGATGCTTTTCTGCAAAGGGGACAGGACGACTGCACCGTATTGAGGGGAGGATGGATGGGGCCATGTATCGCGAGATCTTGGCCAACAACCTCCTTCCCTCAGTAAGAGCATTGAAGATGGGTCGTGGCTGGGTCTTCAAGCATGACAACGACCCGAAACACACAGCCAGGGCAACTAAGGAGTGGCTCCGTAAGAAGCATCTCAAGGTCCTGGAGTGGCCTAGCCAGTCTCCAGACCTGAACCCAATAGAACATCTTTGGAGGGAGCTGAAAGTCCGTATTGCCCAGCGACAGCCCAGAAACCTGAAGGATCTGGAGAAGGTCTGTATGGAGGAGTGGGCCAAAATCCCTGCTGCAGTGTGTGCAAACCTGGTCAAGACATACAGGAAACGTATGATCTCTGTAATTGCAAACAAAGGTTTCTGTACCAAATATTAAGTTCTGCTTTTCTGATGTATCAAATACTTATATCATGCAATAAAATTCAAATGAATTACTTAAAAATCATACAATGTGATTTCCGTCTCTCACAGTTGAAGTGTACCTATGATAAAAATTACAGACCTCTACATGCTTTGTAAGTAGGAAAACCTGCATAATCGGCAGAGTATCAAATACTTGTTCTCTCAACTGTATATACACTGCTCAAAGAAATAAAGGGAACACTTAAACAACACAATGTAACTCCAAGTCAATCACACTTCTGTGAAATCAATCTGTCCACTTAGGAAGCAACACTGATTGACAATAAATTTCACATGCTGTTGTGCAAATGGAATAGACAACAGGTGGAAATTATAGGCAATTAGCAAGACACCCCCAATAAAGAAGTGGTTCTGCAGGTGGTGACCACAGACCACTTCTCAGTTCCTATGCTTCCTGGCTGATGTTTTGGTCACTTTTGAATGCTGGCGGTGCTTTCACTCTAGTGGTAGCATGAGACGGAGTCTACAACCCACACAAGTGGCTCAGGTAGTGCAGCTCATCCAGGATGGCACATCAATGCGAGCTGTGGCAAGAAGGTTTACTGTGTCTGTCAGCGTAGTTTCCAGAGCATGGAGGCGCTACCAGGAGACAGGCCAGTACATCAGGAGACGTGGAGGAGGCCGTAGAAGGGCAACAACCCAGCAGCAGGACCGCTACCTCCGCCTTTGTGCAAGGAGGAGCAGGAGGAGTAGTGACTGCCAGAGCCCTGCAAAATGACCTCCAGCAGGCCACAAATGTGCATGTGTCTGCTCAAACGGTCAGAAACAGACTCCATGAGGGTGGTGTGAGGGCCCGACGTCTACAGGTGGGGGTTGTGCTTACAGCCCAACACCGTGCAGGACGTTTGGCATTTGCCAGAGAACACCAAGATTGGCAAATTCACCACTGGCGCCCTGTGCTCTTCACAGATGAAAGCAGGTTCACACTGAGCACATGTGACAGATGTGACAGAGTCTGGAGACGCCGTGGAGAACGTTCTGCTGCCTGCAACATCCTCCAGCATGACCGGTTTGGCGGTGGGTCAGTCATGGTGTGGGGTGGCATTTCTTTGGGGGGCCGCACAGCCCTCCATGTGCTCGCCAGAGGTAGCCTGACTGCCATTAGGTATCGAGATGAGATCCTCAGACCCCTTGTGAGACCATATGCTGGTGCGGTTGGCCCTGGGTTCCTCCTAATGCAAGACAATGCTAGACCTCATGTGGCTGGAGTGTGTCAGCAGTTCCTGCAAGAGGAAGGCATTGATGCTATGGACTGTCCCGCCCGTTCCCCAGACCTGAATCCAATTGAGCACATCTGGGACTTCATGTCTCACTCCATCCACCAACGCCACGTTGCACCACAGACTGTCCAGGAGTTGGCGGATGCTTTAGTCCAGGTCTGGGAGGAGATCCCTCAGGAGACCATCCGACACCTCATCAGGAGCATGCCCAGGCGTTGTAGGGAGGTCATACAGGCACGTGGAGGCCACACACACACACACTACTGAGCCTCATTTTGACTTGTTTTAAGGACATTACATCAAAGTTGGATCAGCCTGTAGTGTGGTTTTCCACTTTAATTTTGAGGGTGACTCCAAATCCAGACCTCCATTGGTTGATAAATTTGATTTCCATTGATAATTTTTGTGTGATTTTGTTGTCAGCACATTCAACTATGTAAAGAAAAAAGTATTTAATAAGATTATTTCATTCATTCAGATCTAGGATGTGTTGTTTAAGTGTTCCCTTTATTTTTTTGAGCAGTGTATGTTTGGATCTCTAAGATCTTGTAATGTTTGTATAATTCACAACTAAAGTTGCCAAATAACTCTAAATCTAGCATATACAGTGAGGGAAAAAATGTATTTGATTCCCTGCGGATTTTGTACGTTTGCCCACTGACAAAGACATGATCAGTCTATAATTTTAATGGTAGGTTTATTTGAACAGTGAGAGACAGAATATCAACAAAACAATCCAGAAAAACGCATGTCAAAAATGTTATGAATTGATTTGCATTTAAATGAGGGAAATAAGTATTTGACCCCCTCTCAATCAGAAAGATTTCTGGCTCCCAGGTGTCTTTTATACAGGTAACGAACTGAGATTAGGAGCACACTCTTAAAGGGAGTGCTCCTAATCTCAGTTTGTTACCTGTATAAAAGACACCTGTCCACAGAAGCAATCAATCAGATTCCAAACTCTCCACAATGGCCAAGACCAAAAAGATCTCCAAGGATGTCAGGGACAAGATTGTAGACCTACACAAGGCTGGAATGGGCTACAAGACCATCGCCAAGCAGCTTGGTGAGAAGGTGACAACAGTTGGTGCGATTATTCTCAAATGGAAGAAACACAAAAGAACTGTCAATCTCCCTCGGCCTGGGGCTCCATGCAAGATCTCACCTCGTGGACTTGCAATGATCATGAGAACGGTGAGGAATCAGCCCAGAACTACACGGGAGGATCTTGTCAATGATCTCAAGGCAGCTGGGACCATAGTCACCAAGAAAACAGTTAGTAACACACTACGCCGTGAAGGACTGAAATCATGCAGTGCCCGCAATGTCCCCCTGCTCAAGAAAGCACATATACAGGCCCGTCTGAAGTTTGCCAATGAACATCTGAATGATTCAGAGGAGAACTGGGTGAAAGTGTTGTGGTCTGATGAGACTAAAATTGAGCTCTTTGGCATCAACTCAACTCGCCGTGTTTGGAGGAGGAGGAATGCTGCCTATGACCCCAAGAACACCATCCCCACCGTCAAACATGGAGGTGGAAACATTATGCTTTGGGGGTGTTTTTCTGCTAAGGGGACAGGACAACTTCACCGCATCAAAGGGACGATGGACAAGGCCATCTACCGTCAAATCTTGGGTGAGAACCTCCTTCCCTCAGCCAGGGCATTGAAAATGGGTCATGGATGGGTATTCCAGCATGACAATGACCCAAAACACACGGCCAAGGCAACAAAGGAGTGGCTCAAGAAGAATGCATGACAATAACCTGCTGACAAAATGTCATGACGTCACAGCCCTAGGCACACCCACATATTATAAACTCACACACAGGCATATGTGTTTCAGAAAATACATCTGCATAGAGAATAGACAATCCACAGACACACAAGCTTGTTCATCACCAGCACGTCTTTCAGACAATACACACACACAAATTCACACAATGTGCCATCACAGACACTGTAGACAGTGACAATTCACAAACCAAATGGTCTTCCCGACACTCGCGAAGACAGAGGCAGAGTCAACAATGACACACGCAAGCGCATAGCTTTCAACAGTGTCTTCTTACCAGGGAGTCTGTTCATGTTGACACCTTGAGCCGAGAGGCCGATACCCATGTACCTGATAAACAGACAAAGAGAGCATAGTCAAAATTGCGATGGCTCATGAGCCATTGATGTGTGTGTATGTGTGCGTGTGTTCATGTTAACGGTTTCATAAATATCTTGGTTCTTCTGGCTGCAGATATCTAAATCGTCTCAAGGGAATTTCATGAATCATCCCAACGTGACAGACATCCTCATGCAAAGGTCAATTCCTAACTGTCCAGAGATATGATCAGCACAACAATGGAAATCAGGGGTGTATTCATTTGTGCACACCATAGCAAAATGTTTTCGGTTGCAAATGAAATCAAGTTTTTCTTATTGGACAAATTCAGGTTAGGAAAATATGTATAGGCCTATTAGTTTGAGGGGGGTAAATCCTTAATGCCTGAATAAGTCAGGAAGAACTCATCTCTGAACCATGAACCATTACAGGGAACTGATGAGATGGTTTGAAGTCAATTGAGGTCAACTGGATTCTATGATTAGTGAAGTCAACAGGCTTTGGGTGGGTAGTGCCCAATTGGAGGGGTGTGTGTGGTGCCCAATTCTATGAGTCCACCTTACCCATCTCGGCCTTTACTGATGATTTTCACCTCAAAGTAGTAAACCCCGCAGGCGGCTGGGATGGGATGAGTGGCTCGTACGGACGCTGCATCTTTAGGAGTCTTTCCATGACCTGTGGGTGGAGGGAAGAGGAAGGGAATGAGTGAAACAAGACAGCCCTTAATCCAATTCAACCCCTTGCTCTTACCCAGTAGGCACTGCTGTAGATCTAAAATGATTGGAGAGGCGTAAGTAGTAATATGTCTAAAATTATACCTGGCCATTTAGAGGGCAACGTGAAGCAACAATTACAATAACTATCATATTATCAGACCATTTCAGATCTACTAGTGCGCCTAGGGGGATGGGGTGTATAATTGGAATTCAGAATTAACAGTCATTGCCTATTTCAGTTTCATGTGGCAGAGACAGAGACACTGAAACATACAAATGGCAGGTGAACAGAAACAAGCCTATCCCCGGCACCATGATTTCCCACCCAAGGGTGAACCATGACCTGTACATAACAAGGCACTTTTTTTTTTTCCCGGCAGGGAAATGTCATTTTTATGTTGCATTTTGAAAAAGAAATTGTTGCATTATATGAGTTTAAAATTCACATTTAGGGGAATTTTATAATGGAACTACATGGCTACTTGCTGCGTCACTTCCATGGCGTATGCTGTACCAGCTAAATTGCAGTGGTCTGAAGGGATAGGTCCATTCTATTTTTATGATTGAAATGACACCCACTCTGTATTCAAGAGTATGACATCTCAACCAATGGTGGGCACAACACATACACCACACCTCAGATTATGTAAACTAGGGTCTAAACTACAACATATGCAAAAAATTAAATAAAATCTGAGTTTATTAAAAATGTTTTATTTTCTGAAATTATTACAATTAGGGTTGCACGATATTGGAAATAACTGACATTGCGATATTTTGTTTTTCTGCTATATATATATTGCGATATGAAAAAATACAGGATGTATGTATGATCCTCTGGGAAAAATGCAGTTTGCAAACAGCGACTTTTCAGGTGGAACTCATTAATAAAGTGTACGGTCAGACTTATGTAGGGCTCCGTTGTCCGGCTGGACCACAAGTCCGTTGTTGCTGTATAATATTCCACTTGTGACAGCTCTGTTTCAACTTGTGCCTTGCATTTCTCGTACAACTCTGGGATGGCAACTTGAGAAAAATAGTTGCGTGATGGCATTACATACCGCTTGTCAAGCGACCGGATCATGTTTTTAAAACCCTCTTTGGTAACCGTGTTAATTGGTACCATGTCTTTGGTGACGTGAAATGTTATTGAATCTGTGATTTCTCTCTGCCGTTTGGAACCTTTCTCGTATGGTGTAATACTGGCAAAGGCATCCGAAATAGATTTTTGCTTTGGAGGGCATTGAGATGTTTTGCACTCGTCATACGAAGATTTGTGGTGCCGCCTTAAATGATCGAACAAATTGGTCGTGTTGCGGCAACAATTGCATGGCACTCTCGACAAAGTAACTGTTTTTGGTCAACATCATCCTCTGTAGCCGAAATATTTCCATATAATTGACGATGCATTTCTTTTTGCAACCAAATTCTCAATTTCGGTCTTTTTTGCCTGTTCCTCGCTCATCATTTCGTCACGCGCAAGCAGAGCCTGCATGTCAACCACATGCAGTAACGAACTCCGTGTTTAAAATAATAATTATAATAACAATAATAAACTGTGTATCCAACAACCCATAAATCGGAGTAAATTACGTTATATCAGACAGATATAATGCTAGTTTAACATTTTAAAAATATATATATTGTAGACTGATATGTTTACCTTACTAAATCGCACGTTCTGCGATGTGACTATTGCGGGGCTGCATACATCGAAATGTCGATGCTGAAACGATATCGTGCAGCCCTGTTCGTAAGCTTTTAAATTATATCAAACTCAACTGTTTAAAAAGTTAAATTACTACACACCTTTATAGGGTTAGTGTTCCCAAAAGGCCATATCTCCATTTTACAGCGCTTGTTTACGGAAGACATAGGCCGGCACCTGTGCCAATTAGCTATCTAGTGTGTGCCGGACACCTGTGTAAGCTATCTGGGGAGGAAGTGTAGTTCATCAACTGGAGGCACACACAGTGTATGGATCTGTACAAAACTGCTATTTTTTAATTTATTTTAAAGCTTCTTTCTCGCTGACATGAAAGTTAAGGGGCATGATTATTGATGTTTCTAAACATTAAAAACACAGTCACAATTGTAGTTTACACAGAGCCAAATGTGGGCGGATTGCACATCCTAAATAAAATGGCCAATGCTGAAGAGGCATATCTAGGCCTATGTCTATGCCTACAGTGTAAGGGCTTCTTTGTGTCACTTTTTGTTTGTGTTTTGTCAGCTTGACATCAAAACTAGCGTGCTGATATAGCTATGTGCAAATTTAGCTAACTAGTAGCTTAATTAGTCAATCCTGGGCCCTTTGATAAAAAAGATCGCTAACAGTGAGCCCTGCCAATAAAACTAGCCTAACCAGGGGTGTAATCATTAGCCAAACAGTTAGTTCCGTTTTGTAACTAAAATGAGAGTTTCTATTGGACAAATTCAGGTGGGTCCCTCAGTTTCGTTCCGTTTGCTTCCTTTTAAGAAACGTTTTACAACAGAATCGACGTAATGAATAAGCCCCAGCTGTTGTGACATGTTTATTTCCGGAACTTGTGGATTCTACAGCAAAAAAAAAAAAGAAACCAGCTAGTTAGATTGCTAACATTAGTTTAACAAGGGTGTAAAAAAAAATCGAATTATCAACTTTTGCTAGTTTTGACATACCAGCCAGCTAACGTTAGTTGTGCTAGTTAGCTAGCTAAACGGGGTATATCTTGTTTTGGCTGGGGACTTAACGTAACGTTAGCCAGCTGCTTTGCAATATGTCTTGTTGTTGAACATTAGTTAGCAAATTTAGCTAGCCAACATTGCTTTGTTTTTAGCCAGCTACTGTAGTCAAGCCGTTTTGAGAGGTAGACAACTTCTAAGATTAACTGCTAACGTTAGCTAGCCACTAACACAGACAGTAAATTAGCTACAGTAATCTATGTTTAGAAATTATGTGACTAGTTAGCTAGATAAGCGTCATCAGCTTGCACTTTGCTAGCATTCAAGCTTCATTTGATCCACGTGTCATATAGCTAGCTAGTTACCTTTATAGTGCACTCGAAGGTTGTTCTGAGAGAGGCCAATGTAACTGAATTTGTCCTTCGGACTCCAGGAATGAGGAAGCGGGTTTTCAAGTTCGTTTACGGCTGGATAGAGCCGCTTCAGTCGGTGGTTGAGCTCATTTTCCTGCTCGTTCAGAGCCGAGTCTCCGTGAACAACAACCGACATAAGAAATCCACAGCCCGATGACTTTCCAGACATGGCTATCAAACCGTTGTTAGAATGATTCAAACAACTATTATAAGCGAAATGGTCCCACAATAAACTGTCAAGTATTTTAAAATCTCGCTAGTTTAACTAGCTAACGTTAGCTGGCTAATGCTAGCCACAAGCTAGCTAGCCAACTAAACAAGCGTATTGTTAAAATGGTTCTGTAGCTGATCTTAGACGAACACATAGCTATAACGAACAAAACCTACCAAGCTAAAGCATTTTTGGGGAAAAGTGTAACATTTACGAAAAAATATTTATCTCGAGGATATTATTAGATCTAATAGACATCGACAAAGTACGGCTTCTTGTCGGTGCTAATGCACATATCTGATTGGTTTAGAGGAGGTCCAGTCACACTTCCTGAAGACTGGGGTGTACTCATTACTCCAGTCGAAAACGAGCGTTTCTAATGGACCGTTTCAGGTAGGTCCGTCTGTTTGCGGAACCTGTCCAAAATAAACGCTACTTGTCGTTGCAGCTGTTTGGAGTAATTATTACACCCCTGGAAAATAGCTACATGCACAGACACATAACAAACATATGAATGCATCCCTCAAAGTTCTAACCTCACATTTTTCACAAACAGTTGATCATGTTTAGCCTACTTGGTCTGCAGAACCCCAAACTCTATATGAAGTAATTTTCTCTTGGAAATTTTTTATTTTTTCACCAAATAGGCTAATGCCAGAAATGACAGTAGGGGAAAGTGGGGGTAATTCTAGGTCTTGTCCTATATATCTTTGGGAAATTAAGAAGTTATATCAATGAATGAAGAAATAATCAAATATAATTCAGCCTGGTACCAATCAGATCTGTATCAGATCAGTTGCTACATCCATTTTTGGACTTATAAATTAATAATATAGCCATATTGATTCTTGAAGAATATAACTTATAAATGCCTCATGAGCTTAGTTCGACAGTCATACCCCACCAGAACTCAAAATATAAACTTGTTTTATTCCAATATGTGTAAATGTAAACATACACTGTATAGCCTCAAAACATGCTTAAAAATATATTTTTATATATATTGATTGGTCAATCCTTGCATCCATAGCTATGTCTATGAATTTGAGAGTGGTTACCTTTCTCCAGGCCCAACAGTAGATTTCCCCTTTAAAGCAGAAGGTGCAGAAACCCCATTAATGCCTTTACAATCTGCAAAACATGTCTGCAATGTACATGACCTAGAACGCCGCCATAATTATAGAACTACAATGTCAACATGAAATAAATATGTTGTCCCATGAAGGTATTTGAATAAGACAGTGTAAATTGAGCCTTATGGCGTTATCACACATTTTCCTAAATTATTTTATTTCATTTTTTTACAATTAGCACTGTGGTCACACAAATGAAATAAAAAATCTATATAATAATCACCTAATAATTCAAAGTTGAACCTAGCTCACTTTTTTTTTTTTTACTTTTCTCAAATCCCCCAGGGTAAATGATTTGGCTACTTCTTCCTATACAACATTTGTGATTATTTGATTTGTTGTGTGTGTGTTTATCTTGATAATAGGTGTAGCTCAACTTACCCACTGGCTCACTTTACTAGCCTCACAAAGCCGCCTGGTCAGTGTTTAATGTAAGCTTGCGGGATCAGGCGGCTTTGCGAGGTTATCACTTTACCCTGTTCTCCCATATTCTATAAAACATTCACCTGTGTTTGTAAGGGTTCCCAATAGGTGGGAAAGCGGCAAAGTCAACATGTTCTTTATCGTCCATTTATGAAGATAACAAAGTGTTTTTTGGTCTTACTTTAAGGTTAGGCTAATGCATAAGGTTAGCAGTGTATTTAGGGTTAGGTTTAAAATCAGATTTTAAGAAGATTAATTGTAGAAATAGGTGGGATTTATGACTTGCCCAGGGGTGTGTTCAGTTCGATTCAATGTTTGCTACGTTGGGTGACAGTTTGTACTGTACGGTGCGTTTCCCCAAAACGGTGTGCATCATTCTTCAACAGCATTTGAGTTACGTTTGCTCTCGTTTTGGTGGGTGCGGTGAGGTGTGGCCTGACCAACATGGGTGTGAACATTTGAAATTGCAAAACTTGTGCAGCACACACGATACACAATCTCCCTCTGGGCCACCTTAATCACACCGTCCTCAACTGGTCGTTCAGTACGGTACCTTCCATTGAATTAAACATTGAACACCGTTCTGTCATAATGAACGCACCCCAGATAGTGACTATTATTTGTAAGGGAGTAGTGAGGAAATGTCACTGTGATGTCATTGATGTTATTCCTCAAAAATATGACACATGACATGGATTGAACGTCAGTGATTGGAATGAAAACATCTGTACAGTTGGATAGATTTCCAGAAGTGTTTTTCCCCATAAGTCCATTCAGCTTTACTTGACCACACCACAATTTACTCCTTGGTTTAGTTAGTGAATAACTGTTTGGTGAATACTGAATTCTCCTGTGTAGCTGCGTTGAGAGGTGAAGATATACTCCAATAGCCAAGATTCCAAATAGTTCTTACAGAAACTGATATGAAGGTATCAAATTGGTGTCAAATATGGCGATGCCTCCACCTAGCCCTCCAATTGGGAGACTGTTTCTGCCGTGTTTCTTTGCCTTATCCTGGTGCTATCCAATCTGTTAGCGGTGGGTCATCAAGGACAGACGAGAAAATATAATAATATATGCCATTTAGCGGCTACTTTTATCCAAAGGAACTTAGTCATGCGTGCATACATTTTTACATATGGGTGGCCCCCGGAATAAAACCTACTATCCTGACATTGCAAGCGCCATGCTCTACCAACTGAGTTACAGACAACCACAGAAGGGAGGGAGGGAGTTTTTGGTTTGGAATGCAGCCCTGGAAATATCTGTTCCCTCACACCACCCTGTGGGAATGCTCATTGTATCATTTTAGAGGAATCTGAAGTGATGTAATGTTCCTTCTAGACATGACCAGATTGCTTCCCTGGATTACTTTCTGTTATTTATTTTGCTCAGAATTATTAAAGGAACAGTTAGGATAAGAATAAGATGGTTCCAAATCAGTTGGTAGAGCATAAAGTAAGCAGAACAATACAGTTGCATGGCTAGCAAGAAGTTCTATATATTAATACCCAAAAAATGCAGTTGATAATGAATAGTTAATTCAGTGTTGATTATGCCAATTGCTCATTTTCTTTCTATATTAATATTATATCTCCCAAATTGTACAGATAAGATGTAGGAAAGCTTACCAGTGCTTTTCTGCCATGTCAAAAACAAATAACATTAGAGATACTTAAGCTTTGTTCACATTTAGCAGCTCACAATTATCAAATAAAATTTTATTGTACACATATATTGCAGGTGTTATCGCAAGTGCAGTGAAAAGCTTATGTTTCGAGCTCCAACAGTGCAGTAGTAACTAACAATACACACAAATCCCCAAAAAGGTAAAGTAATTAAGAAATATCAGAACAAGCGATGTCAGAGTCCAGAATCTGTATTCAGAAAGTATTCATTCCCCTTGACTTATTTCACATTTTGTTGTTACAGCCTGAATTCAACAACAACAAATCTCACCCATCTACACACAATACCCCATAATGACAAAGTGAAAACATGTATTTAGAAATTTTGTGAAAATGTAATACAGAAATATCTAATTTACATAAGTATTCACACACCTGAGTCAATACTTGGTAAAAGCACCATTGGCGGTGATTACAGCTTTGAGTCGTCTTGGGTATGTCTGTATCGGCTTTGCACATATGGATTTGGGGATTTTTTCCCATTCTTCCTTGCAGATTTTCTCAAGCTCTGTTAAGTTAGGTGGGGAGCAATGGTGAACAGCAATCTTCAAGTCTTGCCACAGATTTTCAATGGGATTCAAGTCTGGGCTTTGGCTGGGCCACTCAAGGACTTTAACATTCGTGTTCTGAAGCCATTCCAGTGTTGCTTTGGCTGTGTGGTTGGGGTCATTGTCCTGTTGGAATATAAATATTTGCCCCAGTCTAAGGTTGTTTGCACTCTGAACCAGGTTCTCATCAAGGATTTGCCTGTATTTTGCTCCATTCATATTTCCCTCTATACTTACCAGTCTCCCAGTCCCTGCCGCTGAAAAGCATCCCCATAGCATGATGCTGCTACCACCATGCTTCACGGTAGGGATGGTGTTAGATGGGTGATGAGCTGTGCCTGGTTTTCTCCAGACATAGCACTTTGCATGCAGGCCGAAGAGTTAAAGTTTTGTCTCATCAGACCACAGAATCTTTTACCTTATGATCTGAGTCTTTCACGTGCCTTTTTGCAAACTCCAGCCTTTTGTCATGTGCCTTTTTCTCAGGAGTGGCTTCTGTCTAGAATACATTAAATACATATGAGATGGGTAATGCAAGATATGTAAACATTATTCAAGTGGCATTATTAAAGTGACTAGTGTTCCAAGTGGCCAGTGATTTTCAAGTCTGTATCTAGGCAGCAGCCTCTCTGTACTAGTGATGGCTGTTTAACAGTCTGATGGCCTTGAGATAGAAGCTGTTTTTCAGTCTCTCGGTCCCAGCTTTGATGCACCTGTACTGACCTCGCCTTCTGGATGATAGTGGGGTCAACAGGCAGTGGCTCGGGTGGTAGTTGTCCTTGATGATCTTTTTGGCCTTCCTGTGACATTGGGTGCTGTAGGTGTCCTGGAGGGCAGGTAGTTTGGCCCTGGTGATGCGTTTGGCAGACTGCACCACCCTCTGGAGAGCCCTGCGGTTGTGGGCGGTGCAGTTGCCGTACCAGGTGGTGATACAGTATCGTATCTGAAGATTATGCCTTTGTTAAATGTTTTGGAGGAACAAAGAATGTTGTTTTATGATCTTAGTTCAAATGTAGCGTTGGGAGGGTGATGCCCCAGGGGAGACTGGTGATTGGCCAGAAGAGGGAGTCACCCCTCCCTCTGCATTGTTTATAAATAGGGGTTAAACGATGAGACGGCAGAACGGCCATAGCAATCTGGGGAGCCGTTCTCCGGACATCGCGAGTCTGTATCTATGCTGTAAATTCGTGATTTTAATAAAAGCCTCGAACACGATGCAGCATAGCGGACTTTCTGTTGACAGCAATAATTGCTACCACTCATCATATACGACATAATGGCGCCCAACGTGGGGCTGGGTTTGCGTCTCCTCCTTGTTTCAGTCAACCGCCGGCCTAACTCTCTCTCTGAAGCATGGAAAAGGGTGAGTGTTCTTACCGCTTCGGAGGTTGTTAGATTGGATATGACTTGTGTACACTGAGGGGATGTTCCATTATGACCTGGCCTTGGTGGTGTTATTGCGGTCGACTGGAGTCTGCTAA